TCATAATCCCCAGAGCACACCCACAAGGAAGGAAGGGCAAACCACTTCTGATTTCTCCATACCTGGAAAACTCTGGAAAGGGTCGCCATCAGTTGGAATTGACTTGATGGCACAAGAGGATGATGAACAGGGGCCCTGCTCAGCAGGTGGCATGGAACAAGCAACTGGTCCTTTGAGACTGGATGGTCATTGCAACTGACCCCCGAGAAAGCCCCAAAGATAAACCTGGCTTAATACCCATCCTCTCTCTCTCTCTCTCTCTCGAAGTTGGCGAAGAGCAGTTGGCCAGCGCCGGCCTCCCCGCTCTGGCTGGCCAGGTTCATGGCGCTCCCTCCGAGGGCGGCAGCGAGGAAGAGGAGGAGGACGACGAGGAGGGCGAGGGAGGCCGAACGACCGACCGGCGGAACGGGAGGGGAGGGGAGGGGGGCAAGACGAAGGCTCAGCCTTGGTAGCTCCGGGTTCCGCTCGACTCCGGCCGCCGCCGCCTCCTCCTCCTCATCCCTCTCTTTTCTCCCCTCAGCGCCTTGTTGACGCTCCGGTAGCGGCCGGAGCCTGACTGCGCCTGCGCCCTCCCGCCCCCTTACCCAGAAGCCTCTTCGTCGACGCGCAGGCGGCTTGGGGGCCCTGTCGGCTGCCGTAGCGCCCCAGGACGAGGAGGAGGAGGAGGCGGGGGGAGAGCTTTACGCATGCGTCGCTTGGTGCTCCTGCTCGCTTGGCCCGTGGGAAAAGTGGGTGCTCTCTTAGCTTTTCAATCTGGTTGGCTTTTTTTTTTCTTGGTCGTTTGGCTCAGTCCGAGTCGAAATAAAGGGAGGCAAGCAAAGACACGCCTCGCAAATCCGAAGTGTGATATTACTTGTGTATAACATAACAATGTAATCAAAGCAGACTCTGCCCAGAATATAAAGCAACTAAACTAAGCTGTACTGTATAAGATTGGAAATCATGGGCAGAGCTGGCTCATGGAATTGCCAAGGGCCAGATACGACTGAATGGATAATTTGTTGAGAGAGATGCATGCATACATGCCACCTGTTATTTTTATATGTGTACATGTGCTTATTTCTTCCCTTCTCAAGAGAATTCAAGGCGGCTTGCAATAATGTAAACAAACTTAAAAACAAATCATTGCAATGTATTAAAAAGGAATTAAACAGATTTCAAAGAAGTACTACATGCCTGACAAAGTGGTCCTGATCCACAAAAGCTCAGGTATGATTTTTCCCCCAGCGGTCTATAAAGTTGTTTACTCTTGCGTTTGTATTTTGCATTGACCACACCGCTCCCTTTTATTTCAAAGAGTAAAAACAGTTTCAACTGTTCTAAAAATTCCTTTTCTGCAAATCTCTTAAGATGCCCCGTCTTAGAATGCCACTGTTACAAGGTATTGGGTAGATTTACAATGATGAAACAATGAGTTACTAACTCGGAAGCTTAATAAATAGGCGAATTTCAAAAAGAGAAGTAGAATGAACAATAGTTAAATCCCAGTTGTTTATTTATGAGTTGGTCCTTGGTTACTTATTAAGTCACTGACTCTTAGCAATCAGCCATTAACGTGTAGCACGAAGGATGACATCATCCCCCTCCCCTTTCAAATCACCCTGTTTCCACTGAGATTAGCTGTGATTCTGAAAGTCCCTGAGAGAGAAACAATTTTTTTTCCTGGGGAAAATTAATTGTTGCAAGCTATCCTTGCTGTGAAGTGAAAGATTTGAGAGCGGTGTTATCAATTAGGAGCCATTAGCATTACAAAATACACGCTCCTGATCTGTTGATACCGACTGCCTGCAGTTTTAGAGTCTCCTGCAGGAGGGAGGGAGAGTCTGAAATCAGTTTATTTATGAGATGTAATGTGGGAAGTTACTTTTTTGGACTGTTACGCCCCAAGTGCCCCACCTAGAATGGCTCCTAGATACAGGATCTTGAGAATTACAGTGCATGGGTAGCTTTCTCAGGATCTGAGAACCACTACAGTGCTAGCTAAAATATTTAGTGTTTCCACCGTTCTCTTCTGAGATGCAATTCCCTTTTCCGCAATGTTCTCGGATGAGTTTAAAGTTCATTTACCCAAGCGGAGAGAATCAAGGGGGCCTATGAAGCTATTTTGTTCCTATCGTACATTGCTAACTTAATCAGCTGTGGAGCCGAATTGGATTAGGAAGGAGACAGAAAGAAGATGAGGCAGGATGATTAAAAACAGCCTCTTCTTCTGGCCCACAGAAGGCCTGCCTTCTCCATGGGCTTTTTCATTAGCTGATGAGTAGAAGCCGTGTACGTCCCCCCAGAGCCTCTTCTGAGGATGTCAAGATTGGTTTGCACGAAGCAGAACAGACGGCGGGTGGATGAGAATGGATATTAAAGAGCCACAAAATTGAATTGGGGGCCTTGTGGGAGAAAGCACATTGCTACGGGCTTGTTTATTTCCTAAGCTTTTGGTTAGACTTCCAGCGGTTGGGAACTGTTCATCAAACCTGCGTTGAAGGGCACACTGCTGAACGTGCCAGTGAACAAGTCCCAATGAACAGAGTGGGGCTGATGACAGAGTAAATATTCATTGAACGGGGCTGTGCACCTGAGCTTTAATGCAATGTCTCCAGGCATCACCAACTGAACACGATATAATGCTAAACATGCTGCTTAACCAAAACCCATGACCAGGGGAGGGTGGGACTGTACCTCGATGCTGGAGAATGTGTGTTTCTTCACAAGCAGAAGGACCCAGGTTTCAGGTTCCCTGCCTTCATGTTTTGAAATCGTATGCCGCCTTGGACAGATTGTGCCCTGCTAATGAGCCCTGTGTTTCGGATGCCAAGGCTTGACTGCAGTGATGGGACTGATGTGGGGCTGCCCTTGGAGACTGTACAGGAGCTCTAGCTGGTTCCAAGCACAGGGACCCACATTGTAAATCCCATTCCATCTGCACACTCAGTTCCCTATACTTCTGTGGTTGTTTTTTTTTCCTTTTCTTATTCTGGGCAATATATAATTTAATTATGCATACTAAAAAGAATTCTACCTCTATCAGTGGTTCCTGAAAGGCTGACCCTGTGGGTGACCAAGAGAAGTGAACAACAGCAGTGATGCATCAACTTATTAATTAATTACTTTGCTACAGCACCATTGGATATTACTTGAGGGCAATTCCTGCTTCCCACCCACCCCCCCAAAAAAATCAGAATAGCTGCCAGAATCCTCTTGGAGATTTATGCTGGCTAAAGTGTAATTGCATAAATCGTGGCCATGAGGTGGGGGGCTAGTTTAGGTGTTGACCAGTTCATGTATTCCTGGTCATGTGCTAGTCGCATGACTTGGCGCCTGCCCAGGAATGTTAGCAGCGATTTGTTCATTAGTGGCAAATTTGCCACTGTTATATACACATTTGCACTTATAACAGGGTAAATCCCCAAGAGGATTTTGGCCAGATTTTGGCCAAGTTGTTTTTTAAGGGGGATCAAAACTCTCAGAAGATGCAATCAGCACGTCTGGGAGGTTGAGGTGTCGTGGTCCACTAAGTTAACTTTTTCAAAGTGTTGCTGCTGCTTTAAAAAGATGCTGCTTTGAACCACTGACCTGGATTTTATTTTTAAGCAGAGGAAAAAAACAGATAGCATTGAGCTACCCCAGAATGCTAGGCCTCTAGCAGCTGGTCAATGGACGGGTCAACATATGTTCTCCGCCCTGCATGGTTAGTCTTCTGTTTATTTATTTATTTCCACTTCTGATTGCTTAGCGGCAGAGGGCGCAAGAAGGTAGCAAATCAAAAGCCATTTGCAACTACTAAGTTGCAAAAAGACCAGTCTCTCAGCATCTCCCCAGGTTTAGCCTCTTGCTTTTGAAGATGGGCTTCCAGACCCTGGCACCTTCCAGGTGTTTTGGAATGCAACTCCCACCACTCAAATTTCCCCTGACTGGGGATGGTGGACATTGTAGTCTGGCATGTCTGGCATATGCCCAGGAGAGGGGAATATACCTTGAAGAAATTTGCTTCACACGTGCTCTGCTTGGTTCTGTGTTATGAATGGATTGTTTTTAATGTTCTCTCTTTCAAAAAGTTCTTGCGTTCCTTTTTACAGTGTGTGTCTTGTATCGGAGGTGCGTTTTAATATCAGCTAAGCATGTATTTTGTTTTGTCAGGCAGGGTAGAAATGCAGCACAATGAATTACTTAAGGGCATTTAATCTCAAGAGGAAGTTGATGTCGGGGGCTGTGAGTCAGGCTACCCCCTCCCCACGTATAAGGCCATCCTCGTGCACCCTGCATTGATTAATTCAAAAAAGCTACTGTGTGTTGTTTGAACACACACTAATATCTTTTTAAAAAAGATATATGGTAATAAAACAAACAAACCCAGGACATCAAAGAGAAAACTCATCACCCAAGCAAAAAGGAAAAAGAACAACACAGAGTATATCATGCATTGCCCCATGCATGCCTGTGCACATTCTTGCACTGTTTTTTGCGGTGATGAATCTAATTAGTGAATGAAATTATCTCTGAATAAATTGAACATGGCCAAGTGTGTGCTTTCCAAACCATTGGGCCTACAGTGGCAGGAAAATATGGGGGTGGGTAACCCTGCAAAAATCTGAGCTGTGATTGAGGGACATCTTCTCCCAAAGACAGCCGGTGACTGCCGCTGGGAGCACCCGGGGGTCTTCACATGCTGAATCTCTTCTGCTGCCTGCTTCAAGAGAGAGAATCGTTGCCATAACAACTCAAGCCAGGGTTTAAAAATAGTAAGTTATTTTTCATTCAGCAACTCTTCTGCCCTTAGGACTGCTGCTATTTCTGTCCCGGTGGTTTATATCAGGTGTCCCGTGCTCTCTTCTCTCATCCCTGTTGAACTCTCCAACCAAGAAATGGGTTCACCAGAGGACAACCTGTGTCATTCCTTAAGAGACCATCTTCATCTAGGGTTTCCATCTGGCCAGAACTTCTAGAAATCTAGGTACAGTTACTTACGGAGAATTCCATGGGATTGAGTGCACTTCATCTAAGCCGCCTTGGTTTGAGATGTTTTGAACGCAGCCTGGACATACCTGACCTTTTCTTATTTTCAGAGCAAATCTGGGTCGAGTCTGATTCTTACTTGGATCAGAAACCATGACTAGGGATCTCCAGACAGGACTGAGAAAACGGCCTGAACTTCTGGAAGGACTCTGCGAGTCAGAGCTTACAACACTAGACTAGATGGGGTGAAGGTGGTCTGATTGATAGGAAGCAGCTTCCTACACTCCTATTGATGCTTTTTTTTTCACCAAAGTGTCCCAAAGACATGTTTTTACTGCAACATTGTGAACTCTCTGGAAATTCATTAGCGATTATTGCCATAAAGCTGATTCTTCTGTTCCAGGGAAAGATGGAACTCTGCTTTTATCGGTAGATTTGTCTAATTTTTCTGTAGCCTGTCTTCTTCTTAGATTAAATCAGCAGGAAACCAGTTTGCTGTGCTGACACTGATCTGCATAGGTGCCCGTGTTTGGGAGTTTTCCTATAAAGTGTGGTTATGGAAATGGTCAAGAAGTCTGGCTTCCCATTCTTGCTCTCGCACCACAGAGCAGAGGGCTGGTGTGGTGGA